CTCCAAAAAAACTTAATGCGAGTTTTATACAGCTCAGATTCCAGCACTTAAAAACTATCAGTTATACCTTTGAGCTTCAAAACGTTCTAAGTCATGAACTGGTGGTCCAACAGACTTTGCAACAACTTTTTCGACCTGCTCTTCACTGAAAATACAACTTCTGATAACTCCCTTATTGCAGCAATTATCGAAAATAACAACAGCAAAGGAAAATGCAAACTATGTATCAGTTTAAAACAGAATGAAACATCAATTCCGACTTCCCTTACCTGTTAACTACATCACATATCAACTGTCCTTTACACATTGCTCTATCACCAGAACTTCTCACCTATTTCACCTATGAAGCACGACAAATAATAACGATGAAACTACTTTGCCTCAGTTGAAATTTTCTGCCTTACAAAGAAATTTTCAGGTGACAACAGAAATGGTATTTTACATACAATCTTTCGCTCAAAAATTTGTGTAACATTTTTACCCTTTAGCCAACGATGACCACTCTTTATTTTACAGCCTTGACTTCAACTTAACTAAAAACAACTTAACTTAACTAAAAACAAAACACGGAATCCAAAATCTAAAATAAAATTACTCTATTTTACCTTTTTACTACACACTTTAATACCTTACGGTAAAATAAAATTACTTTAAGGTAAAATAAAATTACTCTATTTTACCTTTTTACTACACACTTTAATACCTTACGAGCACTTTTTCAAAAATATATTTTAATACTAGTAATGAAAACCTACGGTAAACATTGAAATGGCACAGATTCTAACATAACCCTTTATCAGCTTATACGTGACAAAAACATTTTTGAAAAAAACGTATAACAGCCAATGACAGTCGTAAACTTATAATGAAAGCGTGAGATTATACAGTAGAAAAACATCGAAATTAAATCCGATCCAGCTAATTACTGTTACTGATCTTTGCCTTAAACTGTATTTGCATTTGGGTAAAAAAAAAAAAAAAAACAGATAAAAAAATTTCTTAAACAGAGACCAAAAAAGGTTTTATTGTAAATCGACTATTGTGGACATAAAATATTTGCAAAAAAAACGAAACAACACGTTTTCCAGAACAAACGAACTAAAAGCAGAAAAAAACCATAACAACCTTCAGCCATCAAAACCTAAGAAAACTTTCGAGCTCAAGTGCCGTACATCAACTTACTGCCTTCTTCATCAGCTAAATGCTTTCTACAAAAATTAGGAAAAATAAATCTCTCCGTTTCAACACTAGTGGAAGTTCAAAGTTCCGATTATAAAAAAGTAAAGAGAATTATGCCAAATAAAAATTCACCCACTATCTCTCTATTAAAGACTAATTTAAAAACAAATTAAAACCACAAAGAATAAAAAAAATTGAACAGAAAACCATAAAATTTCAGCAGCTCATTACTGCTGCCGTACACGTCTTCAAAAGAGACTGTTATTCCTTCCAAGACAAAACACTTGTCTAATTTAATAATTTGCAAAAAAGTCAAATGAAATCCAGTCGTAAGAGATCCCTAAACAACAGACAAATTACAAACCACTTTTTCAGCATCAAATTCAATTTTAATGTACTAAAAAACCTCCAACTATAATCAAGCAGGTTCGAGTTCAGTGACGATCTTCAAATAAGTTATACAAAAAGAAAATGATTATAGCAGTCTAAATGTACAATAAATCAGATACCTATATAACTCTTTTTATTAAAAGTAATGCAAGCAAACTTGCTAAAAAAAAATAAAAGAAAAGAAAATAAAAACGCAGAACAGCTTTTGTCTTCTCACTGCAAAATCTCTGCACAAAAAATTTCTATTTACAATCTAATTTAATTCAGCAAAACTTTGAATTTCCAGTAACCGACAGGAAATGAAACCTTGACAGCCAAATACGTAAACTTCACTGGTTTTTAGTGTGATAAATGTTTAGCAAAGAAATAAATCAAAGTTTTGTCGTATATCAATATGCTCAAAAAGACATAACAACGTAACCAACTTTAAATACAAATTTGAAAATTAGGCAAAAAAAATTTTTTAAAAATTAAGTTTTTTCAATGTCTGATAAAAAGTTTTACTTAGTGAACCAAACTAAATAAACAAAATTGTATCCAACATCTAAAATATTCTTTTCCTTTCTTCTTTTCAGAGATATTAGCTTTGCTTAAAAACTCCGCAACAATTACACGTAGATACTTCAGTAAAAGCCAATTTTTTTTTAGTGTAAGTGTTAAAACCAATCTTCCATGACACAAAATGGGAGATAAATAAGGTAAAATTCCAACTTCACGCTTGAATTTTACTTGCACGAAATAGATTTAAAAAAAAGAAAAAATTTTATCTTCATTTTCTTCAGCATAAAATTCTAACTAATACACAGATACTCACGACAACTTCCAATAGTCAAGAAGAAAAAATTGTAAGTTCTTCTTTTACGAAAGTGTAACCTTCTTGTTCACTTCAAAAACAGATTAAGCAGACAAGAAAATTTTCAAAAAAAAACCTATGTCGCCGCCTTTTTATCGAAACTAAACATGTAGTCTTAGTATACTCCTTCACTTAAAACAACCTTTTATATAGCGAAGATAAAGAACTATAAATATTATCAGAATATGTTAACACAGAGACACAAAAATACTTTACCAACAACCTTAA